CCGACTGCCATGAGGGAGACAGCCCGCTCTTCGGCCCTATTCCTCGCGTCTTTGATTTGTCAGATGTATTTTCCTCCCATCTTCCCCGTAATACAGAAACGAAGACTGGAATGATAGCTTGCTTCATATACTAATGGATAAAACACACACACACACACACACACACACACACACACACACACACACACACACACACACACACACACACACACACCTGGATACATGCACACATAAGCGGAAGGGCGGCTTCAAACGCAAACAATGTACGTTTACATGAACATGTATTCAAAGGTGTTGTGACTTAGCCAATAGCTCTGAACATCAAAGATCAAAGCGTGTTTTGTGAAAGCCACTAATGACCAGCAGCTACGCAATAAAGGCTATGTTTATCAAGTCAAGTAATGATACTTCAAAGAGTCCCTGAGTATAGTGTAAATGCGACAATAATGAGACGAAACAGCACCAATTTTATTTTTTCTTACTGTAATAACATTAACACAATTTTCACTTTTTAAAAAATAATCATAATCAGAGTGATTCTATGGTTTTGTAGATGTAGATGCAGAGAACTTCAAAGCGGAGTAACAAGAGATATTCCGCGGAGAGATTTCCACCCGGTGAAGCATTTTCAATTTGGGGCGAGACACAGATGAGAGAACTGAGAAAACTTGATCGCCAGGTGAAGACAAAGGGAAGAGAAAGAAAACGCCAGCGACTATGATTTTCAGTACAAATAGTGAAAGGGAACACACTCGGTCTCCGCGGCAGAATCGATTTTTGCTGCTACAGCCATTATTCCTACACGAGGTCCACCTCTATCATCGATTTCATTTACGGATCTCTGTCGGCCCTCGAGGAACATTGACAGCGCTGACTCAGTATGGCCTGAGTGAACCAAAATTGTTCCGCGCGGCTTCTTCTTCATGAGCGGGAATATCTTGTGACGTAAGCATGACGCACAAAGGTAAAAGCTGCCATAAAGCTGGTTGTCCAGTCAGGGAATCGCTGAAATTATAGAAAACTAGTGTGATTGTTCAAAATACTATGATATCATTGATATGACAGAGGACGTACGATCGATTGCAGTATAAGAAATACTACAATTAATTCCAAATATCATAGAGACCATATATGTTGCCCTCGTCGGAGAGCAGATCACGTAACCACTGCAAGAAAAGAAACATCTACTAAGGTATTCCCAGATTCCGAAAGTGTATAATGGATTGTAAGAGGACGAAAGTATCTTTGTTACATACTTTCTGTGATAAAGTGTTCTGACATCATAAGCAGACACAACAAAAAAAAAGAGTCCAGAGAAGGAAGATATATTATACTTCTAATTCCAACTTACTACTTCATTACTTTCAATTATTTGTCCAAATATTCACGCTAAAACTGGAGAACCCGGAGAGGTTGTTAGACACCCCAGAATTTCCTTCTTTTGACAAGATCTGTAACTGGAGGCAAGATGGTTCCTTCCGTCCCTTCGTAATGATCTTACAAATGAAATAAAAAAAACACGAGAACAACCAACAAACTGGATGGAAGGGATTCGAACTCAGCCAGCCCTCCCAGAGCATCCTTCGCCACTGGCTCCACAAGAACCCCGAACCAAATTGAATTCCTCTCGCGTTTATTTGGCTGTGCTGTGTATTTACACGGATTCTACTTTTACGCCTAATCACCCATGCAGGTCCTCGCCCACGCACGCCCTGACCCACATAAACCTCGCCAGCGAACGCCCGAAGCCACGCCCACGAGAGACGCTGGTGCTGACTGGGCAGACATGAACAACTACTATCACACACAGATCTGGACGTGCCGGGAGACCTGAGTGAGATGTGGCCGGGGGTCGGGAAGCGAGGGAGGGGGCGAGGGGGCGAGGGGGCGAGGGGGCGCTGGCCAGAGGAGGTGGGTATAATTAGTGGTAAGAGGACGAGAGAAAAATGTAAAAAAAGAAAAGAAAGAAGAAGTGGAAGGGGTGACGGATGAGAAAAGGAAAGAATAACACCGGAGAAAAGGTTTGTGAGGAGTATTGGTTGACGGACAGAACTCAAGGGGAATACAGTGGAATTTACAAAAGAGAGTACACAAAGAGAGGAAAATAACTTTTATAATAAACGTAACATTGCTAATGACACTAATGGGCTTCGGGAGGAGGCAAGAAAAGGTTAACAGCTGGAGGATGTGAATGGAATCAATGGTCTGAAAAGGATAGAAAAACGGACAAAGGGTGAAGGAATTAGGAGTGTCAGACTTGGAAAAGAGGGCAATAAGAGATGAATATTAAGAGTAAAACCAAAAAAAACAGAAAAAAAAATCTAGTATTGCATGAGAAGTAGTAAAGGTAAAGGGAAATTATCAAGGTAATCTTGATATGTAAACAAACTAAAAAACATTATTCTTATCATAACTTTCACGCCAAAGGTATTCCTATGAAAGCCTTTGGCGTGACAGAGAATAAAAGTAATGGGAATGATGGTAAAAACAATAATGACAACAACAGAAGTGCCAAAAGAGAAAGCAGAACGGGCACCTGCGTCCGCCCAAGGAGGAAAGGCAGCTGTTGGGGACAGAGGTTGAGACGTACCATCCGGTCCTACTTTGCATTGTTTACAAATTGTAATAATGATGCTGATGATGATGCCGTTGCTGGTGCAGGTGCTGATGATAATGATAATAATGGTAATGACAATAAGAATAACGATAATATGATAATATAATAACTATTGATTACCATTATTATCATCATTACTGCTATTATTATTATTATTATTATTATTATTATTATTATTATTATTATTATTATTGTTATTATTATTATTATTATTATTATTATTATTATTATTATTATTATTATCATTATCATTATTATTATTATCATTATTATTATTATTACCATTATCATCATTATCATCATTATTATTATTATCATTATTATTATTATTACCATTATCATCATTATCATCATTATTATTATTATCATTATAAGTATCATTACAATAATAATAATAGTAATGATAACAATGATGATAATGATAATGATGATAATAATAATGATAATAATAATAATAATAATGATAGTAATAATAATAACAATAATGATAATAATAATGATAATAATAATAATAATGATAGTAATAATAATAATAATAATAATAATAATAATAACAATAATAATAATAATAATAATAATAATAATGATAATAATAATAACAATAATAATAATGATAATAATAATAATAATAATAATAATAATAATAATAATAACAATAACAATAACAATAATACTGAAAACAATAATGATAAACAATTAAAATGACGAAAATAGCAATAATATCGATGATTATAACATCGACAACAATAACATCAGTAACAGTGAAGATAATGTTGGTGATAACAGAACAAAATAGAACAAAAGTAATAATAACAACTAAAGTAATGTTAATAATGGATATTATCATTATAACGATAACGAAATAAATTAGATTGTCTTTGTGATAATCCTGTTTAGAGTAAAAGGAATTTGTAGGGTACATTAGCAATGGTCAAGTATATATTTTTACTGTGTAACCAAATCGTATATCATGCATTAGGAAGGTTGCCGAACTGAAAACACTAACAAATATCATTTTCCTTATCATAAAAAATATATTCTTATTAATATTGCGTCCGAAATAATGCGAGGGAATGTTTGAGGACTCAATAATGCAACGTTCGGTAGAGCTCCAGAAGTCAGGGTAAGTGCTTTGGGGAGAACAATGCTGAAGCACTACAGTAGCGCCGTGTCAAGCAGTCTTACTTGGGGTGGTTAGGATAGTGTACAAGCAGAAGGCGAACTATGCGGTAATATTTAAATCAACTAAACTGTTAGAAACTTGGCCAAAGTAAAAGAGTAAGTGATTTGATTAGACTAAATGATAAAGGACAAGAGTAACTTAATAGCATATTTACACTTTACCTAATAAAGGATAGATTTGTGACTCAAAGAGTTACAGTGATATACCTTCATACATTACAGTTAACTTGGACGCCGCGTGTTTTACCCCCCTTTTTCTTCTCCTTTTTTGCATATATTTGAAAAAGTAGGCTATGAGCAGACTTTGAAGTGAGGTTTTAGAAATCTTTCGTTCGTAATTATTACTGCATTCAATATTTCTCCAATAGCCAGTGAAGACTATGAAACGCCGCTACAAACCAGCTGACATCCCCTTTTTATTTTTAGGCTATAGACTGACACAAAGTATTTTGTTATTCAACTAATACACACAAAGTCACCAAGTTTACAATGTGAACTATCAATGATCTCCCATATGCCTTCATTACTAGAGACAACTGCTACCTGAACCACTTTTGGGAGTCAGTTACACAGTCGATTCAGTGCTTCGGTGATGCGCATCGTCAGAGAACTTCAGTGCATTGAATTGCAGCCTATATTACATGTCCTATATTACGGTATAAAACTTATTTTGCAACTGATCTTACTCCAAAATGTCAAGGGCCATTTCGTTATCATTTTACTTCAACATCATAATTGCGTAATTTTGTTTGGAATTAAAATCGAGATTGGTCCTAGGACCTCATGATCGCGGAAGCCGTGTCATGTGCGGCGTAGTCATGCAAAAGCAATTACTGGTCACGCGCTCCACGCACGTTACGAGGGAGATATAAGCCAACTATTTATGTACTACAGTCTATTGATTGCAGCACATAAACTGTGTTTGAGATTTTCATGACATCCACCAAAAGGCTGTTATTTTGGTAAGATGACTAAAATTAGATAGATATACGTAAAGTATATTTTTAGGTATAGTGTCATGCTATGAAAGATATAACAGGAAATAACTGGGATATAATCGTATTTCTCGTGATAAAGGCGCATACTATGGAGATCTCACCAGTTTATACATGACCCCATTCTACCAGGATAACTGCATGGTCCATCCAAGCATGGCCTTCGGCATAACACATGCTCGTAAACACGTCAGGCCTATGTTACTTTAGTGACAGCTGTATTCTGTGCACGAATGCCAGAGAAAGAAACTAGTCAAAATATGAAGTATGTATGAAGTGTGGAGAGATATTGGAAAACAAACTTTATCGTGACATAATGGTCCGGAAAAGCCATGAAAATATAAATGGATATTTCCAAAATGTGAAGTCACGCGATGGAATTTGAGAAGGTAGGGCCTGCTTTAGAAACAGACAGAGACAAAGAGGAGGTGGGAACAAGTGACGGTATCACAAGAGGGGAAAATAAATTGGGACAGAGAAAAATAGGTCGCGGAGAAAGGACGAAGGAGACGCGGAGGAGAGGGGTAAGGGGGAGGCAGACGAGGCGGGATGAGGTTAGGGAGCGGGGGGGGGGGGGGGGGGGGGGGGGGGGGGGGGGGGGGGGGGGGGGGGGGGGGGGGGGGGGGGGGGGGGGGGGGGGGGGGGGGGGGGGGGGGGGGGGGGGGGGGGGGGGGGGGGGGGGGGGGGGGGGGGGGGGGGGGGGGGGGGG